ACTCTCCGTCTCCATTTTCTTGTTTGTCTGTCTGTCTGTCTCTCTCTCTCTCTCTCTCTCTCTCTCTCTCTCTCTCTCTCTCTCTCTCTCTCGGACACACACACAGGCGTAGAAAACTCTCTCTTCCTTTCTGTCCCTTCCTCACTTTTTCTCTTTATTTCCCCTACATCTCTCTCTCTCTCTCTCTTCCTCTCCCTCCCTCACACACACACACAAAAAAAAACCACACAACAAACAGAACCTCCAACAACACACACAAACAGAAACCTCCAACAACACACCACACCCTCTCCAACACACAGGCTCCCGAGGACGACCCGCCACACCAGCCCGTGAGATGAAGCCTTATAATGTCGCTCGGGCTTATTAGCTATGGTGTCTAGGGTTGAGAAGCAACAGGGAAGACAGGCTGATTTCTTTTTTCTTTTTTTTTTTTTTTTGCTCCTGTCCTTTAGGGAGAAAGTCATTCTTGGTCTGGGGTCTGACTGGAGGAAGATTAGCTTGGTTTATGGGTATATATATATATATATATATATTATATATATATATATATATATATATATATATATATGTATATATTTTTATTATTTTTATTTTTTTTTTGTTTGTTTAAGGGCTTTTCATATATGGTTGGAGTTTTGTGATAATTTTGATTATTGTTCTTTGTATGGATAGTGTATGTATATGTACATACTCACACATATGCAAACAAACACACACACACACATGCCCACATACACACAGGTATTATACATCTATGTGTGTATAGAAACGCACAATCGTATCTTAGCCAAGACACCATAAACCTACTCGACCCACATGCACAAAATGCCAAAAGCAAATCATACGTCACAATATATATATATATATATATATGTGTGTGTGTTGTGTGTGTGTGTGTGTGTGTGTGTGTGTGTGGTGTGTGTGTGTGTGTACATATACATACTTATATGTGTATGTGTGTGTGTGTGTGTACATTACATACTATATGTGTATATATATATGTGTGTGTGTATACACATACATACATATATTTGTATATATATGTATATGTGTGTGTATATACATATATATATTATATGTGTGTGTGTGTGTGTGTGTGTGTCATATATATATATTATATATATATATATATATATATATATATATATATATATATATACATATATATATTATATATATATATATATATATATATATATATATATATATATATATAATATATAATGTATTCATATAGCCGCTGATTATGTACATCCACATATTTTCGGTCTTCATTTCTCGTTCTAGGGTTCAGGTAGTCTTGAAAGAGAAAGTTTTCGCGAAAAGAAAAGGGCGGGAAGGAAGATGGGATGAAAGGGGGGGGGGTGAGGAAGGGAAGAAGGGGGGGGATAAGGGGAGGGGATAGGGTGAGGGATGAGGAGGGGGAGGGGGTGAGGAGGGAAGGGAGGGGCCGAGGAAGGGAGGGAGGGGGTGAGGAGGGGAAGGGGGGGAGGGGCCGAGAAAGGGAGGAAGGGGGGTGAGGAGGGAGGGGAGGGGGTCGAGAAGGGATACGGGAACACATTACAGTCGAGAATTAGTATCAATTAACAGCGTCTGTTTTGGCCAGTTCTTTCACCTCGTACTTTGAGAATTAAATAGATCTTGTAAATCTGATTCGGACTGAGAAGAATTTACAAGAATAAAGGAACTAATATCGTTCATGTGATAGCAAAAGAAAAAAAAGGGAGAAAGAAAAAAGAAAACAAAAAGTGTGAAGCGAAGGTTTCTGGTTAGCATCGAGGAGGTTGCTATAGCCGGTGGGAAGAGGGGGGGGGGGGGGGAGGGGGGGAGGGGGATATGGATCGAAGGTGGGAGGAAGGAGGGGGAGGGGGGGTAAGGATCGAAACCGAAGGTATGCGAAAAGGAGAGAGAGAGAGAGAGAGAGAGAAGAGAGAGGAGAGAGAGAGAGAGAGAGAGAGAGAGGAGAGAGAGGAGAGAGAGAGAGAGAGAGAGAGAGAGAGAGAGAGAGAGAGAAAGAATGAGAAAGAGAGATATATAGATAGACTGAGAGAGAGATAGAGAGAGGAGAGAGGGAAAGAGAAAGTGTAACAAAGAAAGATACAGAGTAAAAGAAGATAAAAGGGAGTGGGACAGGCAGAAAAGGGAAGGAGAGAGAGAATCAAGAGGTATGCGAACAAAAGAGAAAGGAAGAGAAAGATAGAGAAAGCACTGAAGGAATATCGAAGGACAAAATCTGACTTGAAATGAGAGAAACAAAAAATGAATGAAATAGAGAACAAGACATGGACAATGACAGAATACAGATAAAAAGGAGAAAGAAGAGGAGGAGGAGGAGGGAAGGGAAAGCAACAGACAGACAGACAGAGAGATAGAAAGAGAAAGAGGCAGAAGGGGGGGGGGGAGGGAGAGGGAGAGGGAAGGGGCCTCAGCGAAAGGAAGGGAAAGGGAGACATCCACGCAGCCTCGCAAGGTTCTGCCAAAGGGGTAACTCGAGACGGCGACCTGTGGAAATTCCCTTTCGTGGACTGTAAATAGCGGTCGGCAGTCCAGGGTTGAAGGTCCCAGGGACAGTCCAGCGGGTTTAAGGAAGCGAGCTCACGTCCTGCACACTCAGTTGATCAGCGGACGTCGTACCGTCCTCTCCTTCGCTCCTTCTCGAGAAAGCCTTGTATATATATATCTTCCGGTTCTTCTTCGGGGACTTCAAGAAATCCTGTGAGTTTTTTGGGGGAGAGAAAAGACTTCGTGGAGTGTCGAGTTTTTTTTTCAACGACGGTGATTTTTTTTTTTTTTTTGAGTGTTTTAAGATGTGTTAAGATAATTTATACTGAAGGCATCGTGTCGAACGTGGCAAGAATATTAATGAAAAGGAATAATTTCGCTATGTAATGTAACTGACATATATTGGTGTTATTTCTATACATGTCATTTACATCTCTTTTATTGTGAAGTTATTCAATTTTCTTTCATAGCTTTACTATAACTACGTGTATAATCACTTCGAATATATGTCCAACAAAATCGCAAAGACAGAAAATTGAAAACTGTCTTAAAATTTTAGCAGAGTGTGACCTCATATCATCATGAAACTGACCTGCTTTAAAGAGACAAAAAAAAAAAAAAAAAAACACGTAAGGACAAAAAATACGACAGACATCCTCTTCTCTTTTAAATACCACGAAAAATCTTTTGAAGAACAGAGTAAACATTTCCAAAAGATACGTAACGGCGAGAACCACACTGGAATTCCACTCATTTCCGCCTTAAGAAATGAGTTTCTCTTGACGCTGACATCTCTGTGCGAGAAGAATAGCATTTCCTTTCTTCGGCGTGTGGAAATGAATGAAATCTTAATGGATATATAGTTTAATGGTTATAGTAATTGAATTTACTGTATGAATGGTTTATACCTGACAACACTCTTGAATGTCAGTTTAATTAATATTATTTTTATAATATGTTACTCTTTCCTTAAAGTTTACATAAACAAAAGGTCACAAAAATACACGCATTGATCATTAGATTTTGATATGCTCATTAAAATCCGCATTGAATCTAAAGTTTTTAGCAAAAAAACAACAACAACAAAGAAACAATAATGATATACAAGAAAACGAAAATAATTTTCTCGTCCGGATAAAATAGTCACTATATTCCGCAAGGAGAAACTACGTAACAAATTATGCATTTATTCCATTATTTATTTATTTTTCTACAGCGCCATCCGTCTCTTTTAAATCATCCGTTTTGGAATATCTCGAATTAAATCATTTTTTCTCGTTTCTTTTAACATGAACAAAACTCATATAGATGATGGAAAGGGTAAGAATGTACCGATACGTAAATTGCGGGATAATTTGCATATTAAGTACCAACAAAAGTAAAAGGAGCATCTGATTTTCTCTCTCCTCCTCCTCTCTTTCTCCATCTGCCTATATATCGCACTATCTATATCTTTCTTTCTCTTTCTTTCGCTCTTTTATCATTTGTTCATCTCTACTGTACTTTCATCCATTCCTACCTCTCTGTTACCTCCCCTTTTCCTGTGTCATATCATTTATCTTATTTTTTCTTTAATTCTTTCTTTCTCATAGTATATTTATTATTCTTTCCCATATCAGTTATATTTCTTTGTCTTCTTTTCTTCTCTTTCTCTCAACTATTATTCTTACGATCCTCTCATTGCACTCATATCTTTCCTTATAATACTCCTCCTCATAACGCCTATTCTCCTGCTCATAACGCTCATGCTTCTCCTCATAACGCTCATTCTCCTCCTAACGCCCAATTTCCTCCTCATAACGCTCCTTCTCCTCCTCATAACGCTTATTCTCCTCCTCATAATCCCCCTTCTCCTCCCCAGCCAGATCCGACATGAGACCGAGCCTCAGCCTCCTCCTGGCCGCGCTGGCCCTCCTCCTGAGCTCCGCGCGGGCCGAAAAACTCTCCGTTCTCCTGCTAGGTCAAGAAGGAGAGTTCAACATAGGTCACGGAGAATCGGACTTTGACCTGAGAAGCGCCGGTCTCGGTCTCGGGCTCCCTACTGCTGCCGCTCCTGCTTCTTTGCCTACTTTCCCGCCTGCTTTCAATGGTGTGTCTACCGGGGGCTCCATCTTCAACTCCGGAGTCAGTTTGGAGGGATCGGTGCCTGCTCTGAGTGGTGGGTATTTTTCTTTTTTTTGTGATATTGATTTAATTCTTTTGTTCTTGATATGTGAAATGGATATAATGATGGTAATAATCATGATGCTGATATCATTATCATTAGTGATATCATCATTATTATTACTCTAATTGTCACAGTCGCGACAACTTTAATGCTTACGTTATCACCCTTTTCAATCCCGACGATTATCAACAAATCGATAATTCCCACCGCTGCCACCATTTACTCGCATCTGCATTTACATTTACTCATATTTTCCACGCCGTCCATTTCCTCAGCGCTCTACGACGTGCCCGACGCCGGCTCGACCCAACAGGAAGTCCAAGGGGCATGTCAGGCATCTACCGTGGTTATTACATCACGGGATGTTGTGGTGTCGACGCGTGTGTCTGTCAGTCAGGTGAGGGGAAGAGGGCGGAGAATATAGGTGACGGCTGTTAAGATGGGTAAATTTAGGTAATTTGTGTAGTCACGTAGAAATGGGTGAAGGTGACTATTATAAAGATAGTAAAAGATTGTAAAATAGAACTTTGGTTGGGTAGGTGAGTATATGAAATATATTTTTGACTTTTAAGGTATTTTGGGATTGTAGAATATCTACATGTATGAAGATCTACAGCAAAAATTTTGAAAATTTTACTCCAGCAACTAATACACAGAACTTCTATAATGTGTATGAATTCGAAAGACAGAAGCAGCTACAGGAAATAAATAAATAAATAAATAAACACAGAAATCCACAACACGAAACAATGAATTCTACAGACAAAAAAATTACAGCACGTGAAATCTATTCCTATATCTATAAAAGCACCTTGCTTCTTTTCTATAGCCTGTGGTCGTCTCACACTTAACTTCCCTTTCAGGTCGTCGTCCCTACGACCGTGGTCAGGGAGCAAGTCGTGACCTCAACGAGAGTCGAATTCCAGACCGACTACCAGACCTCTTACGTCACTGTTCAGGGCCCCGCACAGGTCAGATTTAGGGGAAATGACGTTGTTTTGACTATATTATTTAATTTATATTATTTATATTATTTATTGACTATATTATGTAACTTTATTTTGATTCTCTTCAAAGTTCAATCCAATGAATTATATCTGTAGTTGAATTTTTGATTATTATTTGGTTGTGATTATGAGTACGATCCATTTATATTGCTTCTGAGTTTGTTTGAAATATTGATTAGCATTCTGCATGTTTTGATTTTTAATTGATATTTATTCTTCTTTCTATCTCACAGACCTTCACTGAGGTAAGAACAGCTGAAGAGATGACCTGTGATCTAACCATAGATTCCTGTGGAAAGGTCATGACCTCTCTTCAGCTAGAGAGACAATTATAGTCTGAAGGAACCCATTTTCTTCTTATCCCACAAGTGCACATTGTTTTTTCCATATAGTAGAATATTTGCTATGGTCATACGCGCAAATCATGACTTGAATGATATACAGCGAAACCAGAGAATGTGTATTTTCAGTTGTGATGAAGTGTCAATGTCATGTTACAGGTGGTGACTCGTCCAGTGACACAATTCCAGACTATTACATCAACTAGGCAGCAAGTTGTTAATGTACCTGTTACCGAGGTATCCTACGTCACACAGGTAAGGCTAGTATATGGTATATCCGAGGAAATATGCGGTAAAATATGTAAATACAGATACTGTACGAAACCAGCTGATAATATTTGATTTGATGATAAATGAACTCGCTTCCCAAACAGGTGGTGACGTCACGCGAACCCCAGTACATCACCGTCACCCAAACTTCACAAGTTCCGGTCGTGCAGACTGTGGTCAGCACCCAAGTACAGCAGGAGTACATCACTGCCACCGTCACCCAGACGCAGTACGCCCCCAACACCGCCTGCGCAGGTTCCTCCTCCACCTCCACGGCTACTGGCGGCGGCTACACCTACCCCGACCCTGTGTCCACAGGTCTCTCCTCCGGTGCCGCTGCCGTGAGTGGCGTCAGCACAGGGGGCGGCTACTACGGCACAGCTGGCTCCACTGGCGGTTACTACGGCACGGCTGGCTCCTCGGGCGGGTACTACGGCGGGGTCAGCCCCTCTTACGGTACTTCAGGCTACTACGGCGGCAGCGGGGGCTACTACGGCCGGTACCCTGGTGGCAGTGGGTACTACAGGCCACGCGGAAATCGGTCCAAATCCAAGGGACTCCTCGGAAAGTGGGGAAAATAGGGAGTAAAAAAAAAAGGGCGACTGGACCGATTGCCTTCGCGTCCCTCTTCTTGCTACCTCTTTATGCATTACATTCTATATCGTATTTTTGGGGGTATTTTTAGTCTTTTTTTTTGTCTTTCTAATGAATGATACATTTCACTTAGGGTACAGTGGCATTCAAATCATCCTTCATTGATTAAAATAGATTTAAAAAGTAGCTGAGGAAGAAACAATAGTAATAATAACAATTGTAATATACACAAGCAGTTCATTTTATTTTCAGGAAATGTCTTTTCATATTACTAATGATAATCATATATAGTCGAGATATCAATATTTTTCTAAAAAAAAAGCTGAAAGTACAATTCATGAATATAAGGATATTTTTATTTTATTTTACACTCCCTTGTAACTTGATGGTTTAGTACAAATACTACATTCAATACAAAAAAGAAAAACATATAACCTGTGTTTATTTTCCTTTCATTCAATCACCATTTTTGGTATCTATAAAATTCTGATTTACATATACATACATACGTAAATACACACACACACACACAGAGCATGTGTATGTAAGAACGTATGTGTTATCCATCGCCATAAATATGAACTAAGTAGATTTTCTTTTTTCATATTGACTTGAAGTTTGCTGCGTCAATCTTATATCAGTAAAAAATATTTTTTTTCAATAAAAACATTTCCATCGTTACATTTTCTTTATTTTTTTCCTACTGTGTTATATCATTCAATAAATTAGCAATCAAAAAGTTTCTTTAAAAAGGCAGATTTAAATATAAAAATCTGATATAATCAGTTGAAAAAAATATTTATTTCGCTCAAGATAAAAAAAAATGCAAAATGGCAGACAGAGAGACAGAACAAGACAGAGAGACATATGAATAACCACATACAGAGAGAGAGAGAGAGAGAGAGAGAGAGAGAGAGAGAGAGAGAGAGAGAGAGAGAGAGAGAGAGAGAGAGAGAGAGAGAGAGAGAGAGAGAGAGAGAGAGAGAGGAGAGAGAGAGAGAGAGAGAGAGAGAGAGAGAGAGAGAGAGAGAGAGAGAGAGAGAGAGAGAGAAGAGAGAGAGAGAGAGAGAGAGAGAGAGAGAGAGAGAGAGAGAGAGATTGAGAGAGAGAGAGAGAGAGAGAGAGAGAGAGAGAGAGAGAGAGAGAGAGAGAGAGAGAGAGAGAGAGAGAGAGAGAGAGAGAGAGAGAGAGAGAGAGAGAGAGAGATTGAGAGAGAGAGAGAGAGAGAGATTGAGAGAGAGAGAGAGAGAGAGAGAGAGAGAGAGAGAGAGAGAGAGAGAGAGAGAGAGAGAGAGAGAGAGAGAGAGAGAGAGAGAGAGAGAGAGAGAGAGAGAGAGAGAGAGAGAGAGAGAGAGAGAGAGAGAGAGAGAGAGAGAAGAGAGAGAGAGAGAGAGAGAGAGAGAAGAGATGAGAGAGAGAGACGAGAGAGAGAGAGAGAGAGAGAGAGAGAGAGAGAGAGAGAGAGAAGAGAGGAGAGAGAGAGAGAGAGAGAGAGACGAGAGAGAGAGAGAGAGAGAGAGAGAGAGAGAGAGAGAGAGAGAGAAGAGAGAGAGAGAGAGAGAGAGAGAGAGAGAGAGAGAGAGAAGAGAGAGAGAGAGAGAGAGAGAGAGAGAGAGAGAGAGAGAGAGAGATAGCGAGAGAAAAATATATAGATAGATAGAGAGAGAGAGATAGAGAGAGATAAAGAGAGATAGATAGAGAGAGATAGATAGATAGAAGACAAAACGAATGCAACTTCTGTCACACGGCGTGTATCCAGAATGTAAACAAACAGGGAGTGGATAAAGAATTTGGAAACAAATGCTAAATAGGTTTACTGATACATTTCTTACTTATACTAATATCATCAGTAACGCTTCCACAGACACACACACACACACACACACACACACACACACACACACACACACACAACACACGCACAACACACACACACACACACACACGCACGCACGCACGCACGCACGCACACATATACATATGTATTCATACATACATATATCAAATTAAAGCCTTTATTTAACTACCTTAAAAAGATTAATTCGAAAAAGAAGAAACATATTTTAAGCATTGACAAAACTATTTTCAGAGACAACAACGATTACTTTTGGTGATAATTTTGATTATTTTTTTTAATATATGATTAGCCAAAAAATAAAAAAAATCGAATTATTATTGCTAATTTTTTTATCCCAAAAAATCTCTGGTGTTGTTTGTAATTTAAGGAAGTTTATGCCTATTACTTTTTTATTTTTTATATTAACCACGAAAATGAAATCTGTAAAATGTAATATCCTTTAAGCGAATTTAACGAATATCACTTAAGATACTTTTCTGTTATATATATTACGTCAAAAATATAAAACAAATCAAAATCCATAATAGTATATAGAAAACGTAACACATTTTAGATAACAAGAACTCACAGTAAACAAAGTCACAAATCACACTACAATATCACACTCTGTATTAGAAATAAAAATCTAATCAACAAACTTTTAATCCTATTTAACCATTTATTCATCTATCTATTCATTTATCCATTTATCTATTCAATTTTACCCTACTAATGAAGTGAATGTCGCCTCAGTATCACAGACGGACTTCAAAGGTATCTGAACGAGACAGGAAACAAGAGAGCATTCTCCTTCACATCCAGTACAAGCCATTCTCCCAGATAGTAATGTCAGATTGGCGGTTCGGAATGTATATGTGCATTTAATTAATTTATTTGTTTGTTGTCGTTGTTGTTGTTGTTGTTCTCCTACCTTTTCTACCTTTATTTATTGTTGTTGTTGTTGTTATAGCAATGATAATGATAATCATTCTTTATTATTGTTATTATCATTATTATTATTATTGTTATCATTATTATTATTATTATAATTATTATTATTATCATTATTTTTATTATTATCATTATTGTTATTATTATTATTATTATTATTATTATTATTATTATTACTGTTGTTTTTATTATTATCATCGTTATTACCATCATCAACGTTACTAAAATTATCATTATGATTAGTATGATCATTAGTATTACAAGCATTATTATCAGAATGATAATCATTCCATCATTACTGTCATTATCATGATTGTTATTGTTATTATCATTATCATCAGTACCATGATGTTTATTATTGTTATCATTATTATTTTTATTACCACTATTATTATAATTATCATTATTATTATCATTGTTGTTATCACAATTATCATTATTCTTATCGTTATCATTGTTATACTTCAACTTATTATTAAAGTTCTTTTGCGAATTTGTGAATTTCTATGTATGTATGTATGTGCGTGACTGAAGCATGACGAAGTTCCTTATATGGCAAACAAAGAAAAACAAATAAAAGAAAAAGAAAAAAAATCTACTTTCACACATGCGCACAAAAAATGCATATTTTAGCGGCTAGTTTGGAATCGTAACGTGACAATAAGAATGTCACGCTGCGAATACCTGAGCTAATGTTTGGAATAACGAACGAAAATTTATGGGAGCTGGTCTGATAACGTAGAGAATGTACACACACAAAAAAAAAATATATATATATATAAAAGAAAAAAGAGATAACACAATAAGATCGTTATCTATAAACTACAAATTAAACTACACATCATAAGATCTACTTTATATAAATTCCGGATTTTTCAGTATTAAGAAAGATAAGAAAAAAACAGTTGTGTGAAATTATTTCTTTAATTGAATATTTTGATCGTATTTACATATCAGCTGTTTATATCAACATTACCTTTTCATTCAACGGTCCAATCTTCCCAAATGATATTTCTAAATTAATCTATGTCTATAAATCTGTCACTATTTTATTAAGAGCTTGCCTATAAGTTGAATAAATTTGCATTGATCTATCAATTTGTCTCTCATTCATATTTTTTCTCTATTATTTAAACCTAACCATTTTAATTATTTCACTCTATATCAGTATATTCTAATAAACTCTCTCTTTCTCGTTGCCTATCTCCATATCCACCAGTCTATTCTTCTCATTAGTTATTCATTAGTAAATCTATTTTTTAACTCAACAGTCTATCACAATCACTACATCTGTCTATTAATAAAATAATCGTGTCCGTAATATACCCTCCATTACGGCAAATTTTGCGAATGCGTCGACGGAACCCAGACTTCGGCATTGTTAGAGTCAGTAATATTTTTAAAAATCTTGTCATGGTATAATGTTGCATATAGGATTGCAATAAACGTTACAGTTTTGCAAGATTTAACCGTGCTGCATATGTTGTTCAGCTTATTAAAGAAAATCCAAACATTTTAATCCGAAGCCTAGGCTCTACCATCGCATTCAAACACTTTGCCGTCATGGCGGTAACTTTGGTTCACGAAAATGTATTTATCAGTGCATTAACCTCCATTAACATCGATCTACCCATCAACACAACTATCGAAAAATATCCAAGTATCCTTTTCTTCATCTATCTATCCATCTATTCACCTCTCCTTCCATCTGTGGCCAAGAAAAGGGAAGATGGATAGTTTCGTAAACAATAGACCGTGTCAAGACTTAATGTATATGCTTATTACACGTAATGTTTGTTTGTCTAATGAATGTTTGTGTTGTGCGAATGCCTAAGTCTGACAAGTTGATAGGCTTATCTGCTGTTAACGACCGTGTAGAGTATGTGTGACAAGGGTACATATTTATGCCATTCTGTCACCGACGTTCGGACACATACAGACATGTACATACATTCGCACACACATTTGACGGGCAAATTACGTATGGAAGGAGACACTGGCTGACACATATGAACGGAACATACATAATTACACACACACACACACACACACCACACACACACACACACACACACACACACACACACACACACACACACACACACACATATATATATATATATATATATATAATATATATATATATATATATATGTATGTATATATGTGTATATATAGATATACACACACGCATATGTACTATTCATCTATCAGTATATATATATATATATATATTATATATATATATATATATATATATATATATATATATATATATATATATATATATATATATATATATATATATATATATAATATATATATATATATATTAGATATGTATATATAACACATACACATACATGTATTAATAATACAACCATTCACCTTCCATCAACCTTATTTCGCACCCCAAGCACAAACTGGGACCTAAGGCCTTTCACCATAGAGGCTACCTTCACTGCCCTACGCCATAACCGTTCATGTTGCGACATACTATCTTCCTTCCTCTGGGAAACCTCAAAAAAAAAAAAAAAAAAAAAAAAAAAAAAAGGAATAAGCTTACTCATAATCCTTAGAGAGAGAGAGAGAGAGAGAGAGAGAGAGAGAGAGAGAGAGAGAGAGAGAGGAGAGAGACAGAGAGAGACAGAGACAGAGACAGAGAGAGACAGAGAGAGAGACAGAGACAGAGAGAGGGGAGAGGGAGAGGGAGAGGGAAGGGAGGAATGGAGAAGAGGGAAGAAGAAAGGAAAGGAGAGGAGAGGGAGAGGGAGGGGGAGGGAGGGGAGAGGGAAGAGGGAGAGAGAGGGAGAGGGAGAGGGAGAGGG